GTGAAAATGATTCATATAATCATAAAAGATTTATAGCTCTACCAGATCAATTGCTTAGTATAGTAAATATTAAAAGAATTTATAAAAAGAATGTCATATAAAAATGTATACATATATGAATCATATAGGTGTTTAATTCTAAAAGGAAGCAAAACCATGATAGTGTCCTTTCAGCTGAGAATTTAAAGCAAAACATTGCTAACAGAAATACTATTTCGATAAATACACTGGTGTGCAAAAATTAAGGACGAAGTCGAAAAATTAGCATATCAGCTGAACGAAGAGGCAGAGCGGACAGAAAGACCAATCAGGAGATTAAGTAAGGTGATGTACGGTAGCACATGCGCAGATATGCAGGTAGACATAATGGGGGAGTGTCTGAGTAGTATAAAGCATGTTGTCGGTGTAAGATCAGTATTTCTGGCAAAGAGATTGCATGCCGTATAGCAGTTAAAATCACACTGACTTGCTGCCTCAGCGAGAAATGGCGAATAATCAATCTGTTAGACGACATCTGGATGCTTTTACCCGAGGTCGAATCATTGGGAAGTTGGAGGAAGGCCGCAGTGCGACAAGTGTGGCTGCAGAGTTTGGAATTGCTCACAGCATCGTTTCACAACTTTGGAGACAATTTCAAACTACAGGAACAGCTATCCGGGGGTTTAGTAGTGGTCGTCCATGAGGAACCACACCCGCAGATGACTGGTATATTGCCTTACAGGCCAGAATAAACAGGCAGCAGACGGCGGGAGAAATCGCTAGACACACGACACATGCGACTGGACGACCAATATCGCGTTTTACCGTGGCCAGAAGACTGCACGGTGGTGGTCTGTTTGCACGACGCCCTGTACGGTGTGTACCTCTAACGCCTGCCCATCGGAGAAGGCATTCTCTGTGGTGCCGGGAACACCGGAATTGGAGAGACAATGTATGGTGACGAGTACTCTTTACAGATGAGAGCAGATTCAGTCTGAGTAGCGATTCTCATCGCATACTTATCTGGAGAGAGCGGGGAAGCCGCAATCATCCCTCGAACATCATTGAAAGGGACAGGTATGGAGGTGGCGGTGTTCTCGTTTGGGGAGGCATCATGCTTGGTAGTCGTACAGACCTTCACATCTTCGACGCAGGTTCAGTCGACGGGACCCGTTATTGTAACGAGATTCTTTTTCCATATGTGCGTCTTTTTAGAGGCGCTATGGGTCCGCAGTTCCTTTTCATGGACGACAATGCACCATGTCATCGCACAGTAGCTGCCGAACAGCTCTTAGAAAGTAAGGATATTGAACGTATGGATTGGCCGGCGCGATCTCCGGATCTCAATCCCATCGAGCATGTATAGGATTTTCTAGGGAGACGTTTGGCAGTTCGTACCTTACCACCAGTAACGATTCCGGAGCTTCGACTGGCGCTGCAAGACGAATGGGCAGCAATGCCTCAACAACTCAATGACACCCTCATTCTCAGAATGGGCAGACGCTGTGAAACCTGCCTAGCAGTCAGGGGAGATCATATCCCCTATTAAAGACTGGATGTTTCTTGCTGGACACCCATCACAGGGATGTTTCGACCTTCAGTCGCATTGCGCTCCATGCTACTTTTTCAATAAAGCTTCTTTTTATCCCTCTGATTTCTCTTTTAGTAAGTGTTGCTTACATTACTCATGTCCTTACATATTGGGGATCTTACAGTATTAAATGTGTTGATTTGGAAAGCTTTTGTACAAAGTTATATTGAAAAAACCGTCTCGTCCTTAATTTTTGCACACCAGTGTAGTTAGGATGACTCATTTTAAATAGAAAGTATGTATGCAAAGAAACTGTTAGTTTGTGCATAGTTAATGCCAGTTAGCCAGCACAGCTCCAACAGAACTTTCACTATTGAATAATATCAAATTTGCATTATTTCAAAACTGCTTTATTATTGCTTAAAATAGGGCTTAACTTAGAAAACAAGCATAATATTTTTTACAACATTTTATTTCTTTTGCTTAAAAAGTTGTTTCCAAATATCATAAAATAAAAATTATGATAGAATCACAATTGTTTGGGAAATAAACAAATTAATTAATTCAAGTAACTCCCTTATTACTTTCAAAATTATAATAAGAAAGCTGATGCCTTGCATGATGACTAGATTTTAGAAGTTTATTCATAGAGGACTGGAGTTTAAAAAATATATGCATAATTTTCTACAAGTGCAATTCTATAAAATCTCGTGAAAAATTATACAAGTTTCATTCAAGAAAGTTATTATCAAGTAAAAAATGCACCTTTTATCTTAATAGAAGTTGGAGTATCTAAATTAGCAAAAGGGTATTCTGAACTACTCAACTGACAATTATGACTGATGATAACAACTAACAATTAATTAATTACTGACAAAACTTTTTAGTTTAAATGCAATTTCATGCATAACTCAGATGCAGTCAAACATCTAAAATTAAGCAAAAGAGAAACCATATACATATATATATATATATATATATTTTCATAAAGAAAATCCTGAAAACTCACACAGTCAGATATTTCAGTCCTCAACAATGAAATCAGAGCCCAACTACTGCTTTCTCATGCCTTTAGCCATTCAAATGCTGGTCATCCTAAAGAAAAGACATCTAAGTCCTTCTTACATACATCATTTTTTAAAATTAATTCTAACCTGTGATTAGAATTTAGTAAATTTTATGGATGAAATTAGGCTTAAAAAATGAGAGAGATAGAGAGAGACTTGGTTTTTTAGGACAAAATAAGGAAAACCTATATCAGATTCTGTCAAAGTACATGAAAAATTTCTTTAAAATGAATGCCATTTTAAGATCAAATCTTAGATAATTTTAAAGCTGGTATGTTTCACAATTTTTTTTTCTATTTGAAATTACTCATGATTTGTGAAAGATTACTTTGTAGAATGTTATAATAGTGAATATTTAATATAAATTCAGATACAAATTTTCTTCCGAGTTTTCAGGGCCGTTCAAAATTTCGTCCTTATACAAATGCTATTTTAACTTTCCTTTGGATTATGAAATGCCAAAAAGAGCATCAGATGCGTGCATAATACTTAAAAGTATTAAATTTAATTTGTGTGCATGAATATATATGCAGATATTAAGGTACTTACAACTCTTCTTAATTTGAAGTCTTTTTAATAGAAATTCATGTCTTTGTATTTTAAGACAGTAAGCCATGCATAACAAATAATTGTTTATCATTTAACTACTATGCATGTAAATGTTACATATCAGGAACATATAATCAAATATGTTCTTGCTTTTAGTATATTTAATGATGAATTTTTTTTTTTTTTTTTTTTTTTTTTCTTCCTGTAAATTATTTTCCAGTATAACATGCTAAAACAAATCACACGTGAACCTTAGCATTTTCAACTTTACTTTACTATCCTCTCCAGTGAGATCTTTCAACCAATGAAAACAAAAAAGAATTTAAAATTAGTGGATATTTCTAAAGTCTGTAATGTAGAGAGATGCTTGAATGAATTTCTAAAGTTTTAAAAAATTACCCTCATTTAAGCAATTTGTTCAGAAGACAATGAAGATAAATTTAAAAAAAAAATTGATGACAAAATAAAATTCAGAGTACTAAAATAATCAAAACTTACATTGTTTGCTTAATCAAAAAGAAATTTTTAATATGTTTCTTATGTTTGTTGGTATAACTGAAATCAAAAGAAGATTTAACACAACCAAAATTAATAAACTAGATCATATGCCAATTATGATTCCTCCTTTCACTTCCAAAATATATTTTTGGCTGGCAAGTGATCAAACTAAATTTCCTGATGCTAAATTTTTAAGATAATGAGTGAAAAGAGAGTTCAAAGTTATGAAGGTGATTATATTTTTTATGATTCTAAGCATCATTAATTAAAAAAGGGATGTCTTTCCTCCTGCCCTCCCTCAAGCTGGATTTTCAAGTCACAGAGGATTTATGCTTTGTTTCACATTTTATGACTAAGAACAAAGTCATTTATCTTTATATGAAGTGTTTGCTAATCAAGTCAAATTTGTGCCACAGCTGAAATATTTTCTTTGATTTATGCCAAGTTTAAAAATTATTTGTGGTAAATACTGACATGAAGTTTTTATGCATCAGAAGTATTTAATTTTTTTTTTTAACCTGGCTATGGGCCTAAACATGATATGTATGTGCATATTGCATTGTATTATAATCATAAAAATATATCAATATTTTTCATCAATTGCATGCATAATAATTTTAATGAAATTGTATCTCTTTCTTAAACTTTGTTGGTCATGAATAAACTTAGCTTGCATTCCAGTTATGCACTACACTGGGTGCAAATGAACCAGCTTACATAAAAATTTATGACTACCACACATGTTTAAGATGAAAGAATTGCTAAATTTCGTAACCACCAAATGGTTAAATGAAAATATATTTGTATTTCATGTGGCAAATTCTAACCTATTATTTGCAGTTTTTATATGCGTTAATGGTCAAAAAAATATTTTGGTTATGCAGATTAACTTAAAAAACTATCATTTCCAGGTTAGATTTTTCTTAGAAATTGTAACCTATGACTGATATTGAAAAGTATAATATAATAAACAAGCAATAGTGCATTTTAGAAATTTAATTAGGTCTTGATTTTTTTTAGTGTTCTTCTTAAAAGATAACTACTTTGGGGTAAAAGTAACTCGTACACTTAGATTTGTTTCTTAAACGTTGCACATTCTTTTTGATTGATAATTTTCAAACAAATAAGTTTTTAAGAAAGATTTTAGTTTTTTTATCATTAATTTTTCTGTATCAATTACAATAATATATAAATGTCTGTTTATTTAACTTTATGTGCATATGCTAAGAAAAGGGGGAGGGAGACTGCAAACTGTTAGATTGGGTTATTGTTAAAATTTCTTGCAAAGCTTGATTTCCATTGACAAATGTAATTTGTGGCTAAGCAATAGACTGTTGAATATTATCTGTTGATTATTTTGCTTAAATTTGTTGCAGAATAGTAACATTATTGAGGGGATGAAAGCTTTGCAGAATGAAAGGTCAAACTGGTTAGATCGTCCAGACCATATTATGAGAGCTGCTCGTCATTACGATAGAGCTGCCCAAATTTTGATTTTGATATCAGTAAAGACTGTTTTAGAGGTAATCATATTTTAAAAGATACCTTGTTTTTTTTATTCTGTAATTATTTATACTCTTATTTTTGTTGTATATTCATTCTGTGAAATAAAATGAAAATTTGAAACTTGATCAATATCAAATTTTTTCTTTACCAGCTTAATTTTATTATTGACAAAATATAAAAGACAGTTTTAAGCATACTTCTGCTTATTTTTATGATATATTCTAATAAGACTGTCTTCAGTAAATGCAAATAATTAATTAAGCGTATTGATTATCAGGGAAGGTAGTTTAAATGATTAATTAAAGTTGTGAACATAAGAATTTTATATGATGTATTTATTCATAATTAAAATATAAAAGTCAAATGATGTTAAATTTTAGCCGATATAATTCTCAGATTCCAGCTTCTAAAATAAATGGGTGGTATGTATGTTGAAATGTTCAGTCATCTGCAAATATTAAAATGTGAACTTCAAATTGCATACAAGGCAAAACATTTTATTTAGAAATGTTAATTTTTTATGTTAAATGATATTTAAAATGTGTTTCACATTTTTATTGCTTTCAAAGTTTGAAAAAAATTCTAATATCTAACCAAATCCAAATCATTTTGAGCTAAAATTTGATTTAAGTCTGTATATAAAACTTTTTTTTTTTTTTTTTTTTTTTTTAAATCTGTATGTAGGAATTTGCATTGTTTGCAGTATTCTATAATTTAAAAAAAAAATTCTTCATAAATATTCTTGGTATAAATTTGTTAATGAACATTAATAGTAGCTTTCTTAATATCCTGATACATTAAAGTCAGTAAGATCTTCAAGTCTGGGGTTCTCAACCAAGGCGGGGATTACCTACTAGGAAGAATTTCATAGTTTCAGAAGAGAATATGGATAGCCTTTTATTTACCTGTTAAGTATTTAGTTTTAGTTAATATAAAAATCTACTTTTTTAATCAGGTTTTAGGATTTTTTTTTATTTCGGAAATACATTAAAAAATAATCTAAATTTAAATAAATAGTTTTTTAGTTTTGTAAAAGGGCAGGGAATGATTGTCTAGTAGTGGTGAAAAAGGTGCATGGGGCAAAAAAAAAAAAAAAAAATTGAGAACCCCTGCTCTAAGTTATTTTATTTTCCTGTAAGTATTTTATATATATTAAATTTTTGATTTAATCTTACTTATTTTGTGGCCTTAATTTCTGAAAATTTGTAATTATCTGACTTACATACAACTTTCCCAGGTGAATTTATATGTATTTTTAGCAAACACAGAAGCTTTAATTAAAATATGGTTTATTGCTGCAGCCAACTTGATTGAAAAAAGTTAACACGAGATAAGAAGATTAACTAAACAACATCTTAGGTGCAGCTGGACATCCATAGTGCCATTCCCTGTTTCTTGAGTTACTTTAAAATACCATTTGATCACTCTTGAATAGATTTTGCTCAGTTACACTGAATATGGCCACTCTTTCATAGAGTCCTCGTGAAATCTACTGAGTCACTCTAGAATACCACACTCTTGTAGAATTTGTTGTGTCACTCAGATAGACTCTGCATGGTTATTCCATAGGGATAAACTCCACATGGCCACTGTGTCATAGAGTACACTCGGTTACTGTAGACTCGGCTCCTAGGAAGTTCTTGGCCTATCCGGCAGTGCCCGCAATGTACCTACACTGCATACTACTACTTCTGCCTATCTACCTTCTCTACTACAACTACTGCTCCTCAACAGCTGGAATTTCAAACTTTTGTACTGGTGGTATTTGCCACTACTTGAATGGGATATACAAATTTTTAGCCAATATTTGATAATGTGGTTATAATTTTGTCATACTTTTTAATACTGCATGTTCGTCTTTAAAGCTGTAAGATCTAAACTGTTAGGTTTTTATTAAAAACTGATTATTTTCAAATTATTTCAATTTCTATATTAATTAAATTATTTCATTTTAGTGTATAGTTTTAAGTCCATCATCACTGCCTGATATAGGAACATATATAACTGCTGAATGCCCTGCAAGAATTGACCTTCAAGGGGGTTGGTCAGATACACCTCCAATATGTTATGAGCTTGGTGGATCTGTAGTAAATGTTGCTGTGCTAATTGACGGAAAGGTAAACAAATTCTGTTTCTGATAAATGTAAGCACTTTGCTGGAAAAATAGCAAATTTAATTTAGTGGTGAGGTAATATTTCAGTTAGAAATATTTTAGATTACTACAATATTTATTGTGTATCCTTTGATATAAGGATTTGCTTTCTTGTATGAAAATATGTATTTTTATTTTTAGAAACCAATTGGTGCAAGGGCTCGTAGAATTATTGAGTAAGTTCAATAATTATTTTTAAGTATATTAATTATTCAAAAAAGACATTTTTTATTAAATTAAATTACATCTAATGCAAAAGACATGTAAATATTTTGGTTTAAATTTTTTTTAAATACATTTTTTAATGGAAGAAAATCCTTATATTCAAAACAACCTTAGCATTGTATGTTATATGTCTATCATATTACATTACTGTTTCCTAAGTAATTCCTTTTGTTAATAATGGTTTGCTTTAATTATTGTTTAATATACTTTAATAATTTTATAATGTTCTGCTTCAGCCATTAAAGAGATTTTTCTTGAAAAAACGGAATTTTTTTCTATTTTTTGAAATATACTTCTAGGAAAACAACAGGCAGTTAATTATACAAAGAATGTGTGTTTGAAAGATATTATTTTCTCAATTTTTGGAGACTTAGAAGATCATTGATTTACAATATTTGTAGAAATATTTATTCAATGTAAAATATTAATATAATTCAAGATTTATGAAAATGGTGACTGTGTACTTTTTACTTCCATAAACATTGATTCTATGCATGTACTTGTAATAACAAAGTGAATGCTAATTAATCCTTCCGAGATGGTGCACCTCTGTTTAAGACATTCACTCTGGACAGATGAGAGTTGAAAGGAATTGTCTCACAGGACAAGGGTTTCGCATCCACTAAGCCTAACTTTAGAAATTATGTCCAAACATCTAATTATTGGTACTACAGTACAAAGTCTGAAATCCGGAATGATCTAAAATCTGAAACTCAAAACTACCAACGAAGTTTTTCTCGTAGGCTTTACGCATGCGCATTTGATTTCCCTCCCCCTTCCGTGCATAATAAAACATCTGGAGAGTCCCGATTCTTAATTTCACTTCGACACTAAATAAAATACCTTGTTATTGAAGAAACAATCATTTTAGCATAAATTTGTACAATCAGTAATTTGGCTCCGTTGCTGTGTATCTGCGTGGAACACATCTCGAACCAAAACAATCCATATAGATACATCGTTGATCTGACGACAACATGGAGAATCATTACTTAATTATACTTTCCTTTCATCACCGCATGTTTATCAAAACATGACTGAGTAATGCTTAGGTAGCGATGCCTAAACAATTTTTTTTATGTTAGTAATTGAATAATAAAGGAGTATGATAACCTTTTATGTTGACATTATGCTTGGCAGTGATTACAGATTTAAGTTAAATGCGCTAAAAAATGTTGACAAGGAAAAATTTACCAAAAATTTCTTTCTGTCTGCTAAAAATAGATTTTGTTGATGATAGTCATAGACCTAAAGATTACATTATGGGCTATTTGAATTAAGAATAGAGACTGTATCAGACGGTAAGATATCTAGCGCTGGCCCTCAATAAGGTTTAAGTATATGTGGGAATTTATTTATTCAGAACTCTGATAACCCTTAAGAATGTGCAAGAAATAGACATAAGTATAATAAATAACTAAACTAGTACAATTCAGGCTTAATTGTCTCAGTGCGCAATAGAAGCAAGACGAAATTTAACGGAACAGCTTATCATTAGTCGCCAAGCTCATGATGCATAGCTCAATATTTATAGTGAAGGACAGCTAAATTTGATGATAATAGCCACTAATTTTAAAGGTTTTTGGATATAGCAAAACAAAGGTAAAATTTCCCAATTAACAGATTTTGTAAAGAAATGTGGAGAAGTGGTAATAAATGAAGATGATATAAGAGAGGTTTTTATATCATGAATGGTGAAATCTGTAGTATGGTTCTAGATCCAGAAAAAAGCGCTACCGATAGTAAAGAAAGTGACAGAGAAGTTACTGAAAATGAGAAAATTTCGATTGACAAGTTAGTTCGAATTCTCGAAAAAGCAGATACAGGGCTTTAACAATGTAACTCAACAAAAGATTATGTCTGTCTACAAAATTAAGGAGAAAGTATTAGCACAAAAATGAAGGCAATTTAAAACAACTTCATTGAAAGAAATGTTTATTAAGATAAACAAATAAATATTAAGCTTTTTTTTTTTTTTTTTTTTTTAAGTTTGATACCCTTTAGATCATAAATGCTTCATAATTTCATAAATCACGATTTCATATTTTTAATTTTATAATTTCTACATGCCATTTTACTAGATTTAAACTGATGATCTGTTATCCGGAAAAATCGCAAATCCGGAATCGCCAAAGTCCTGACAAGTCCGGATTTCAGACTTTGTACTTTAGACTATTACTTAAGCTATCATATGTGTTAAAATTAGCATTTAATAATCTTTTTCCTCTACTTTACATGAAAATATTAAAAAAATTTGTGTACTTTGAGAAGTAATTTTCAGAAGCACTCTTCAAATTATTCTGAAGTTTTATTTTATAAAATACATTAATAAGCTTTTAAATTAATAAAAAATACAAGAAAAACTATTAACAAGAAAAAGTAACCAAATTTTTTATGTAAAATGAAAGACAGACGCTCAAGACACCTTTGCTTAAGATGTTCCCTCTGGACGGAAATCAAATTGAAGGTCAGAGTCCTAAAACTGTATTCACTTCAAAAGTACATAGGATGCCATCTAGTAGTCTTTAGAATGTTCCAGAAACTGGCAAAACTGTGTGATGGCTGAAAATGAATGAGTAAACGCTCTGGCACACCAGCGTGCCAGCTGGGAAATGCATTTCTTTCTTGCTGGCACATATGTTTGATATTCAGCACAAACGAGTTAGTGTCCTACAGTGTGGGAGTGCAGCAGTAAAGAGATGATTCTGAGGCCTGTCATATATATATTTTGCAGTCATACAAATTATTTGACCTTGTCACCTTTAAAGTTCTCTCTTCTTATATTCATGTATTGCTGTGTATAATATTTCCAATTCACGCAGCAATCCCAGTAAGCGTTTTTCAAGGATCACACATAATTCTTTTTATGAATTTTGGTTTATCTCATTAACTGCATTGAAACTTCATCCTTTCAAAGTTAATTTCAATTTTGGAAAAAAGAAACTGTTGTCCAGGACAAGATCTGGAGAATATAGAGGCTTGGAAACATGATTTTTATCTGTTTTGGCACAAAAATTGGGAATTAAAGGAGATGCATGATTTCATTTACAGTTTGGATATTTTTCTTGAAATGCCGTACTCTTAGTTACTCAGTATTTTAAGGTAATGCTGTAATACCAATGATTCATTGTTTACTCTTTTATAAAAATGTGTGGTGGATGATCTCTTGCATTTAGGGGGGGAATCTCTACCTGACTCCTCATGCTTTTGTTGGCAATGGGTAACTTTTCTAATCCACTGTAAAGACGAAGAATCTGTTTCAAATTCAAAGCCATGTTTCAGCACCAGTGTTCATTCATTCTTTTTGTGAATTCTTCATCCTCATTTGCATGATCCAAAACAGCTTGCTCATTTCCAGTTTTTAAGATATAATGTGATGACATAATCCAATTAAAATTCTGCACTTTTCTGCAGTTTTTTTTTTTTTTTTTAAATAATTAGTCACTAATTTAAAATTGTGATTTCACAAATTTAAGTAATATAAATTTCTTTATTTGATGCCAGTGGCATTGGTTGATGGCTGACTTTGAATTGGTTAATTGGTTGACTTAAATTGAGTGAATTTTTAAACTATTAAAACACTGCATACAACTTGATCAGGCAATCATTAAAACTCAGCATTTGATGAGGCTGTAATTTTTTTTTTTTTTTGTGAGTTTAATATAAATTTTTTTATAATGTACTATTTTTAAACCTAATGCATTTTTAAAAATTGCAGAGTAAATACAGCATGTGTTTTAGCAAATAATAAGAAGCTTACTAATGATACCCATTAAATATTAAAATATCACTGGCACACTATTAAGAATGTTAAGGAATATTTTTAATAGATCTTGTTTTGACAAATGTGAAATAATTACAGTATCAATTGCTGTATGTAATGTTCCTTAGAAATTTCGGGAAAGTATCCCTTCCTTGGGTAAGTCTGTATTTACTTTCCCATAATCAAATGTTCAATTTAAAATAAAACAGTTGTTGCGTATTGTTTGTCAAATGGCTTCAGAATTAAATTTATGCTTAATACTTTAAGCATAAATTTAATTCTGAAGCCATTTGACAAACAATACTATGTATTTAATTAAATTTATGCTTAAAGTATTCAAATGAAGTAATGCTAGTATTTCTTAATTTTATTTATCATATTTATTTGCATATTTTTCTGCCTTTACATACTAATTTTATATCCTTTCAATGTACATTATTTCTGGAGAGAAGGCTTAAATGAAGAGCATAACATGTTAAAAGCACATATAAAATGACAAACTAAATATTGTAATACAGTAAAAACTTTACTGCCTCACATTTAACTAACCAGAAAGCTCAAGTAACAAGAATATTTTAGAATTTTAGGAAATTGTTTCACCTGTAAAGATTTAGTCAATGACAGATTTGTAACACCATTATAGAGGTCATAATATTATCAACATGTAAGCCTTGTCCCCAAACATTGTGATTTAGTTCCAATAATGGATAAGCATGATATCACAACACAGTTATAAAAGTTCATTTTGAGTGTACATTTTAATAATTATCCATAAGCCAGTTTAATTATTGTAAAGAAAGGAATAAGTTCTATTTTTCCCTTCACATTTTGAAAAAAAAAATTAATATGTGGGACACCAAGAAGTGAAATAGTTTCAAAGTTACATGATCATAAAAAAAAGGCCATGATGGAGACTTTGAAAATGGTTTAAAAAGGTGAGGTAATGCGAAACATTATGTTAAGCAATTTAAGTTTTTTACATGCCATATATGTAATTTATATCACTTTACCTAACTGAAAAAAGAGGAAGCTGTTCATTTAAATTTCTGCTAGAATGATTGGTGGCATATCCACCAAATTTTAGCTTCGATGGGATTTCATAATCAAATCAGTAGTTCTACTTTAATGTTTAATGCCTAAGTTGGCTTTTATGTCTGAAATGTGTTTCTTTTCTCAAAAGGTTATATTATTTTAAATGTAGGCTTTTGATATTCAAGTTGGTAACAAATAAGATGATGTTTTTTATAATTTCAGAGCAGACATTTTTCAAATTCATTTGCTTTTCTAATATGAATTCTATTTTTATATGCCCAACTATCCAGTATTTTCACATATCCAGAACTCAGCATTTACTGAGCGTTATGGGTATTCAAGATTTTATTGTACTTCATATTTCTCAAAGAAGTTAGCTAATAATTTCAATGAAAGATGTCTTTTTCTTTAAACAATGTACTTTCTTCACAAACATTTTACATTGTCACCATAAATCAGAAGTTTCTGACTCATGTGCCTAAGAAATTAATCATGAAAGCTAAGAATATATATATATGAAATAATCAGAGCACAAGGAAAAGCCGGAGCAGTGTCTATGCATAGTATGCTAATAATGCTAACTTGGTAATATCTAAAGAAGCTGGCAGTCGAGGCAATTTTAATTCCATTTTTATTTCCAATTGATATTTGTGGCCACAATCGCTTGGCACTCTAGTCGTGCTTTTCCACAGAAGATTTACATTTTTTATATTGTTGAGATAGAAAGCAAGCCAGGAAAATTACATCTTAGCACAGTAGAGAGCAAAAGCTGAGGTCATGCGTAGTTACGAAAGATGGAAGCACACAAAGAGAAAAGTTTTGGTTTACAATTTGGTGATTGGTCAAGAGGCATGTGCATTAAGGGTTACGTAAGATCACATGATTAATTTAAATGACGTAGTTTAGACTTACGGCGCTGTTTTTAGGACAGATAGATGAAGTTCCCAAATGAAATAGAAAATAAAAGAGGTTATAGTGAATTAAATTTAAAAGTTTGCTTTGATATTTTTTATCTTACATATATATATATGTATGTAAGCGGGAAGAAATAAATGGTTAAATATGGAGTTTCTTTAATGTAGTTGCTTGAATTCTGTATGTTAAAATTTCACTTAACTATCTTATTTAATTATTTTCTAATGCATCAAAATTTTTCTAGACCTCACATTTTGTTGAAACTTGGTCTTGAGGAAATGTGCCATGAAGTCCTCATAAAAGATATAAAAGATGTACTGAATTATGATCAGCCAAACGCCCAAGGTATCAAATTTTAATGTTATTCTCCTCCTCCCCCCATATTTACTCCATTAGAATACACTTAAGGGAACTTATAGTTCGTTTTTAATATTTAAGAGGATTTTTTTGTTGTTGTTATTGTGATATGAAGTTAAGAAGCTGTGTAAAAATAAAAATTTTAAATAATTCTACTATTACATTCATGTTTACATAAAGGAATAATAATTATTTGAACTAAATCATTAAATCATTTCCTTTTTATTTTGATAATGATCAGTTTATATCTTATAGAGCCTTAAATTTTACCAAATATCTTCATATGCCTTAAATATTCTGTTTTGTAACTATGGTCTAGTAAATAGGAGAAACTAAATCATTATTTTATATTAAATTTGCTCCATTTTCATACATAAAGTTATTAGGTGAATCTCTCTCTCTCTCTCTCTCTCATGCTCTTTAATTAAGGCATGCATAATTTCATACACTGTACAAAGAAATATGTTTTTAGAAGTTTTATGAGTCAAAATTAGAAACCAAATTTTCAGAGTTATGATTTTTATAATTTCAATTTGGCATAAACAAAACCAATCTGAAAATATTAAAAACTTTTTAATTGATACTTTAATAGGTTGACCTATTGAATCATACCTATGATAATTTTAAAATGCATTTTAAAACAGTATTTTGTGTTTTTCTTAATTATAACATATAACATTACTGGCAAAAATAGTATTCTCTTTTATTTACTTTTATATTTATGTATAGTGGAACCTTGAATCATGAATCTTGGACCACAAAACGTTTTCCAAGTTTAAAATGTTTTGTACTAATAAACAGTGTTTTAAGATGTGAACAAATCAGCCAGCAATTTATTATACTTCAGAATGCAGAATTAGGTCATGCGACATTTAGATTTCATAATAAAACATGCTCATAAACATTGTAGGGTGACAAAACAGGAGGTTGCCAACGACTGTATGATTTTCCCTTGGTATTGTAAATCTCTGCTCTTACTTTCACTTAAATTTTATTGTGATTTGTATTTTGTAACATAAATTATTAAAAAGATACTATGTAGTCAAAAAAAGATAATGATAGCAGCGAAATTTTAAAAAAAAAAAAAAAAAAAAAAAAAAAGAGAGAGAGAGAGAGACAGACTAGAACTGTTGATAGAGGTGAAGAACAAAATTATAGAGAAATACGAAAAAGATGTTCATATCTCTGATTTTACTGCTGAGTTTCGTATGGCTAAATCAATCATGTGCACTATTTTTAAAAATAAAGAAACAGCCAATGAAGCTGATTTTGCAAGAGGAATGATGGATGATTTAAAGATACTGAACAAAGATCACAGACGATTAAATAAATTGGAGAATTTGCTGTTCATTAGAATAACCAAGCAAAAATGTTAGCTGATAACAGTGATTTAGGGAGGTATCATTTGGGAGAAAGCAATGCAATTGCATGATGACCTGGTTAAGAAAACTAACCTAATATGAGAGCTGATGCTGATGTCTTCAAAGCTAGCAGTGGTTTTCTTCACATAATGTTAAGAAAATAAATAGCATACATAGCGTAGTTAGGCATGAAGAAACTGTAATTGTGAATCAAAAGACTACTGAGCAATTTGTGCAAGATTTTAGTGACTACGTAAAAATTGGGGAATTTCTTCCTCAGCAAATGTTCATTTGTGATAAAACAGCTTTGTTCTAAAAAAAGAAGAAAAAATTCAAGGTGAACATACATCATCTTAAGAGGAGGAAGCATTACCTGGGTACAAGTCAAGGAACAATAGTCTATTTTGTTATATGAAAAAGCAAATGGACACTTTTAAAGGCAAGCCAGTACTTTTGTATCTCTTAGAGTATTTGAAGGTGTTTAAAAACACATATGTTAAGGTCTAACTGTAAAGCTTGGGTAATTAAGCAATTTTTTTATCAAGTGGATCTATGAAATTTTTGCTTCAGGTGGGAAGAAATACTTGCAAGAAAACAATGTGCCATTTATCTACCTTCTTACTGTAGTTAATGCACCTGATTACCTTTCAAGCTTGATAGTGGTTGATCACAGTGGAACTCATCTGCCTCTTAACATGACTTCTAGAATACAACCCATGGATCAGGAGGTTTTTTAAAAGTTCAACAAACTCTACAACACAACTCTTTTCCTGTTTTCTCAAACATTTGTTTTGAGGTAACCTGTGATATAAAATTAATATGCAGAGACTTAAAGAAACATCATTTTAATATTCTCCATTTTTAAGTCTCAAAAACAGAGTATGGCAGAAATTGACTTTCAGGACAAAAATTTGGTGTGGAGGAAATTGTGGCCAGATAAATGCTCTGATGCTGAGAAAATTTTTGTTATTGATGATGATCTACCTTTTAAGTAAACACATGGACTTGAAATTTAACATTGAAGAGAGGAGTTACTAGAAAACTATAAATATGAACTCAGCACAAAAGGATTGAAGCAGTTTCAGAGACAACAGCAAAAAGGGACTATTGAGGACTTCAGAAGAAGAAAGGTTGTTCCTAGTTATTTGATCCAAGGAGTTTTTTGCTAAATTTCATAAAAAGTTATCACCCTGATAAAAGAAACAGCAAGCTGTAGCATAAATATTTGTAATAACAACATTGTGCCTTGCTTTAGGAACATTTTAAAACACGGAAAAAACAAATCACATTAGAAAACTTTTAACCCTTTGACGTGCGGTGGTCACGCCCTGAAACCACCATTTTCCGAATTTTTTTTCTCCTCTTTTTCCCGAAATTTGTGAGTGAAAATGAATTGATTACTGATCTTTTACATCTAAATAACACAAAATGACTGTAGAATCATATATGTTTTAGGTATTAATACTTCAGATCGGATGCCTTTTAAAATTTGTTTTCGATGAGATAAAATAACTTCCTTTTATTAATATAAACAACTTTAAATTTCAAAAGTTAGTCATTGCACATCATGATTTCTATCATAAACAATAAAAAATTGCAGTAATTAAACTGCATATATATAAAAAAAAAACCTCTATATGTATGGCATTTGCTATGTGGTTTCAGGGCGTGACCACTGCGCCACTAGAGCATTGTGTCACAATGCTTACAATCCCCTAGAGGCTCGGTGGTCGTGCCTTGAAACCACTGCCGTTTGCTTCTCGATGGTGTTCGCTTGCTTTTCAAATAGGAATGTTTATTTTTACCCGGATATAGATAAAGGGCTTTGAAACCACAGAGTTATTTTATTACTAAACAATACATGCACCTGCCCAGTAAAAAGTTCTTTCTTTTCCAAATACTTTTCTCTGGCTTCAACACACCTGCTCCCCAAGCTAGTATTGTGATTTTATAAATTATTTCCTGTGGTTTAAATTTAATGTAAACATACTTTGCTATAATTAAAAATAGAAATTGTGCATAAAAGTTTTATTTAAATTAAAAATATTTTCTGAATATTTTGGGACGAAATACAAATAAAATAAGTATGAATGGGAAACGAACGATCCATACAAAGCCAAAAAGACCACCCCGCCCCCATTAACATAAAAAACCACAAATTTCATGTGCCAGATGAAAAGAAACTAAATAACTTTGGACATATACCATTGAAATTTAAATCCAGGCAGTGTACATTCTGTAGCACAAGGAAGAAACTTCATAGAAAGAGATGTATGTGCGAAATAAGCAATGGGGGTTTATGCATGTACCAAAGAGACAAAATATGCTTTGAACAGTGTCACAAAAAAATTGTTCTTTAAAATTTAAAAAAAAAAAAAAAAAACCCACTGAGTTTTTTTTTATCTTTATTTTATTGAGTTTTTTTAATCCATTTATCCAAATGTCCTTATTATGTAGGTACTTATATTTTCACTGCTATAGAAAAATTACATAAATTTTTATTTTTTCATTTTTTTCTGACGATTTACTTTGTGAAATACTTTAAAAAATTATATATAATGCAATTCTTGCATACATTTTTTTTTTAAATCCGTAAATTTCGTCATTTATTGGAAATGCACGTGGAAAATGGTAAGTTTTTTTTCCTACTACATCAGTAAGTTTCAAAGTCCTAGACGCGCAGTGGTTTCACAGTGCGACCACCACCCACAGAACAATGGGCAAGAGTAGATTTTTTTTAATTCATATATTATTTGTCTCTAGGATCATAATATTCAATTTCTAGAATTTTTAGTTAAAAAATAATATCGCGCGCGTCAAAGGGTTAATGGTCAAAGACATAATGAAGACAACTTTTTCTTTAGAGCAGAATGGTGTTAAGAGAAAGAAAAAAGAAAAAGAAATCCAGAAAGATAGTAGCTATGTGATATTTTTATGGAATAGAATTTTCCATTCAAGTAATAACATTTTTCAGCTTTTCACCATTTTCTACTTATGTTGTCAATTTGCTTTTTTACAAATGCAGTAAAACTTAATTAAATCTCTCCCCCTTTTTTAATGTTTAATGGTGCATTAATATTGTGCATTTATTAAATTTAATGAATTTGATTGATTTTGTAATACAAACTTTCATACAAAGTGCTCTTTTCTTTAATTGTTTGGGGTCCAGGAACAGATTAATCCATTTTTACTCTAATTTCTATGAGGAAAATTGTTTTGATTTATGAACATTTTGGCTGATGATTTAAGTTCATGGAAGTTTAGTTCAGTAATGAATTAAATTCATGAATCAAGGTTCACTATAATAAACTAAAAACTAATTATTCTCAGAAGATATCAAAATTTCTGCATTAATTTGAATTATTATGTAGTAATAAGTTAGCTTAATATTATTATTGCATAATATTAACTCGAATTATTGCATAATAATTAATTTTCAGGTGCACTCCTGAAAGCTGCTTTACTTTGTACAGAAATAGTAAATGTTGACTCTCATTTTACATTATCACAACAACTTATGTCAAGGTTCAGTGGAGGATTTGAAGTGCAAGCATGGTCATTACTTCCGCAAGGCTGTGGTAATATATTACATTAACTATTCTTAACATGCTTGGTTTATAAATAAAGTTTAATGTATTAGTAATATTATAATATATCTCTTTCATACATAGTTACTTCATGCCTAATTGAACTGCACCATTAATTAAAAGTTAACAACTGCATTAAATATTAACAGTTAATCTAAACTTTGTTTATTGTTAAATACATATAGATTTGATTTATAATTAATCATTGTAAGGCTTCAAAATTTTTGTCGTATTAAAAAATTGTGTGAAGATTTTAATATTTTGTATTTTTAACTTTATTTTTTTGGCTAATCTTTGAACTGAAGATCTTATGTAATACTTGAAAGTTATATTTAGAATATTATTATTGTTATAAAACACGAGATTAGACAAACTGGTGAGCATTCTCAATATGGCTAAGTTTAAATTTTTACTACTGCCTTTCTATTATTTTACACATTTGACTATCTCTTTATATTGTTTAGGAACTTGTCTTTCCTTTCTTAAAAGCCCAAACTGTGAGGAGATTTTTAAAAAGAGTGTTGCATTTTTAAAAATTAAACATTACTTACTAAGCATAATGATTTTAGAAAAAAAAAAAAAAAAGGGTGTATAAATATTTTAGGTGTAGTCATTTGGATATTAGAAATGCCATCAGATAATTCTGTTCTTATAATTATGTTCTATTTGCTTCCATTTCATCCATTATTCACTCTATTTCTTTCTATTGTAATTTCTGTTTCTCAGAGCAAATTGAAGACCTCATTATGCATAATCTCATTGAGCTTGACATGCGACTGCACACTCCTCCTTACATGAGAAATTATAGTCTGTTAATTTTGAAAATGGCTTATGGTGAAAGCTGATTTTTAGAGGATGAGATTACTAACCTTTTTAGATTCGCCAACTGGCTACGAAATACAACTTCAACAAATCACATGCATTTGTAGCTATAGCTAATATAGTTGAATGTAAATCCTTTATTTTTGTAATTAATAGCATTTAACTTAAATTGTTAGCTACTATTGTCCCTTCTGCAGATCATTTCATTCTAAAATTTACACAGAATGAAGCATTTTTTAAAAACTGTTTGATTATAGTAATATTATTTGAAGTACATATGGTGTGCATTTAGAAATAGTCAAATGGGAAATCTCCAGTACAACAATGTGAATTTTGTTCTGGTTAAAATTCAGATTAATCTGAAAAATTGTATGGGAATTAGTTGTGATATTCAAGTGAAAGAAAAAAAAATTATTTGACAGATCATAGGACAAAGTTTCAATAATCCTCTCGGCTAATTTGAATCTTGAACCGAAACATGTGAAGGAAAACAATCTGCATCTTTGTGAAAGGTTTTCAGTTTAGATTATTTGATTATGGTAAAGCACAAATATTAATGCCTAGGAAAGGGTGTTTTCGTGGAGAACTCTTTTAAGAGCAACCAGCTTTCATTTTTGTAACCTGTGAGGAAAACCACAAAAACTTCATGCAGATAAATCATGGAGTGTTTTGCTGAAAACAGAAATCAGCTTATCTCAGAAGAACTTATAACAGTCATGAATAAGATGTATAAATAATCTGTGATTATAAATGTTTACAAATAAAACTGAAAAGTGTATAGTATTTGTAATAATGCCATGTATTATGCATTTCAACTGTGTAAACTATTTATCTATAGATTGCTACTCTTCACAGACAACTTAGATTATTAAGTAAAAATTTGGTATTGTCCCAACCTAGCGCTTTATCGAATTTTGTTAGTTAATCAGTTTTACATCACAGTTTGCTATGGCACCACCTCTTTTTCAGGCTATATTACAAAAGCAATGTTTATGCTTATTGTTTCTTTCGCATGCAGTTTTTCTATTGAATTTATGAAGAGTTTTTAATATGCTGTCTTTGAATCTTTGTTATCAATTTACTCTCAAATAGAATTTTTTTTTCAATGTTTACATTACAAAGAGCTGAAACAGAAGGAAATGAAATAACTGTTATCTTAAGAAGCAACAGTGTTTAATTCATCTCTCTTAAATTCATTATTTCTCTTTTTTAATACAGAATACAACAAATTGTTTGCAAATAGGTTTTGAAACAACTAAATATAGCAGTACAAATTCGGGTGTATTTTCTCCTACCTCTTATCTGTTTCATTCAGTATATGCATGAAATTCTTCATATAATCTATATCCATAACATTTAGGGGCTCACTTTTAGTTACATTCATATTGAGTAACTAACTGAAATATTTAAATCAGCTAATCTAATGGGAAAAAAAAAAAATACTTTGCCCTTTTATTCACACACTGAATGTTTTCTTATACATAAACACAGCAAAGAAATAAATGATTTGCAAAATGTAAAAATATATTAATTTTAAATAATAATAAATCTGATCATACAAATTTGAATAAAATTGCAAAAGAAAAAAATATGTAAAAACAATTTTAGTAGTGCCACCTATCAATCCGTAAAGTAACTACACAGTTAAGTAAGGTAGATCGCCTACAGGGAGAATACCAAAAGTTTTTTATGTGTTTTAATTCAATGAATGAAATCTATTTTATATCTCTACATGAGAAGATAATGTATGATACGCATCATCATCAAATAATCAAGAAGTGAATTAAATATGATTTCAATTTTTTTTTCATTATTGAATGGCAGTTTTATGTTCTTTCATGATGCTTTTTTATGTATTTAGTCTGAGATTTACATACTGTTCAAAATTTACTGTGGCTGTAATGAAGTAAATAGATTATTGTTAGTATTATGCTAATGAAAAATGCAGAAGTGTTGCATTTTATACCAGTGTCCTCACTTTATTATTAGTCATAACAAATTAACAACATAGAATGATTGGCTTATAGATGTTTTATATTTCTTCATCTTTCTATTGTTCAGGTATGGGCACTAGTAGCATATTAGCTGGGGCTATTGTGAGTGTTTTATGGACAGTATCTGGGAAAGCTTTTGACAAGTTGGCAATAATTCATGCTGTAAGTTGCATATGTGAATTTTAGACTGCATTTAAGGAGAAAATAAATGAAATAATGGTGTATATTTTAGTTGTTTCAGTACATTATACTTTTCACACTTTTTTTAAATGTGTGTATTGTGATTAAATATTAATATTGTTTTGATTAAATAGCATTCTTTAAAATTTTAAACATAATTTTATGTTTTGTTATTTTTACCCTTTAAATCCTAAAAAATATTAAAAATTTCTTTTGTTTACTTTGTAGAAATAAACTTAAATTCTGTTTATTTCATTTGATTAACCTTGAAGAAGGTGTATTGCTTTCACTTCATAGAAAATCTTCTCTTTTGGCAGTATTGCCAGATGAGAAGAATAGAAAAAAATGTAGAAGCAGTTCTTGGCAAATGCCAATGCACAAAATATAAGCTGTTTATCTTTTACACACAGTCATGCATAATAGATTCTCAAAATGCTACCTTTCATCAAAGCATAAATTTTTTAATTTATCTTTCAAATTTAATCATTCTGTTGTAGATTAACAAACTGAGCAATTTAAAAGTAGTTCTTATCACTTTGAGAAAACTTTAATTTGTCTTCCGCATACTTTTGTGCATGTGATAAGTTCTCAAAATATTGGCTTTTAGAAAAGCATAAGTTCTTTAATGTATCTCTTAAATTTAATCAGTCTGTTATTGATAAACAAACTGTGATTTAAAGCAGCAAATGCTGGTCTTTACAATTTAATCATTTAATTGAATTGTTAGGAGCATTTTACTTTTTAAACAATATAATTGATTTAAATTAAAATGTACTTAAATTCATAATGCATCTAACAGGTAATTTTGATGAGCATTTGAAGCTTTGTTGGAGTTAATAAAAAATATTTTTAATGTTATGTATTAAATAACTGAGCTAAAATCATTAATTTCTCAAGTTTTATGATGTTTTATACTTTTTATTTATTTTTTTTAATGATAATCATTGAAAGCGTTTGAATGTAATCTAAAATCTTTAGATTGCAGGTTTTTTCTTTTTTAATTCTGATTAGATTAATTTCATGACTTAATAATCTTGTTTACAGACATAATTTGTTAACAACAGTATTCTTCTTGATATTTTATTTTTGTAATTATCTAATTAATGTTAATAAATTTTAGTTTTAAAGTACCTTCAAAAATTCCTTATCTGTTGAATCATGTAGTTAGTAATAGACACTTGTTAAATTCCATTTATTTTTACAATTTACTTGAATTTTAATTAAATAGGTTCTTTATGTGGAACAGCTATTAACAACTGGAGGAGGTTGGCAGGATCAAGTTTCAGGTGTTTTAGGTGGAATAACAAGAGGGTATTCTGAAGCTGTATTACCTTTATGTGTTAAGTATGAACCTATTTCTCTACCTGAAGAGCTGATAGCTAAACTCAATTCACATTTGTTATTGCTTTACACAGGAAAAGTTCGATTAGCAAAAAATCTTTTACAGGTGAGTATTGTTACCATTTCGATTTTAATGCATGTTAGGAAATGAAAAATTCGGAATAAAATTTTAAATGCTTACATATTAACAGTTATGAGTATGATTCCATATGTGTTTCAAAATAAGAACCGTCAAATAAAAGACCCACCATACATTTTAGAATAAATTTTAAAAAATAAAAATGTATGCTAATGTCTGCTGAGAGTATGTTTCTAATTAGAATTCATTTTAATTGTATTATATATAGTTATCCATGTAGTTTATTTAGCATTTAAACATAATAATTGTACTATAAGATAATTAAACTCCTCTCATTGTGCAATTTCATTTATCAATTTTATTTTCATTTATTTATTTATGTACCTTAATTTGTGCCAATTACTGTACCATAACACATTTTAGAATAAAAAAATAGCCTCCCCCCAAAAAAAATAAAAGGTTCTTGGCTAATTCAGAAGTCAAACAACAAAAATCAGCATTAATTTACAAAATTTTCACAGGACTAGTTTCGATGGTTTTACCGAACCATCATCTTAGGTATATCCTAATTCCAATCCAAATTTGCCTTCGGCTTTTAGAGAAATTATGTTTTAGTTCTGGTTTCGCCAACAGATGGCGCCACTTGCTTATTCTTGTCCAGGCTTTCTTATCTTATCTAAACATTATTTCCTATCTTGTTCATTTGCGGTTTTGCAGCTGAAGATGACCATCGAAACTAGTCCTGGTAAAACCATCGAAACTAGTCCTGTGAAAATTTTGTAAATTAACGCTGATTTTTGTTGTTTGACTTCTGAATTAGTATTTATTCGGCGTGTTATTGTCTTAATTATTAGGTTCTTGGCTTATTTGATTTTAGCAAAGCACAAAAATGCTATCTGCCTAAGTAGAGGGATGTCTTCATAAAGGACTTTCTTAGGGAAACTGGCTTCTATCCACGTTAAGCTCATATCCACATGCAGAAAATCATGAAAACACCCATGCAGCCAGCCCATTCACCTGGAGCTGAACCAGGTCAAACTACCAGAGTTCAGTGACTTTCCATTGGCCACTAGTGGGCCACAAAAAAGGGAGGGCCTTATATTTGAGTAAATACAGTATGATGTAAATTAAGATTTAATTTGTGCATGTATATTACATGTATAGACAATACATGTTATATGTATAAAGTTTATACATATATAAACATTTATATATATTAATGTTTATACATGTATATTACATTTTTATTAATTATAATTTTTTTTAACAGAATGTCATTCGCAGTTGGTATGCTAGAGAAGAAATTGTGGTAAACTGTTTTAAAGATTTGATATCATATTCACTTCAGATGAAACAGGCCTTGAAAAATGGCAAGTATATTAAAGTTGTATATATATATATATATATATATATACAACTTTAATAGTTTATACATATATATATATATATATACAACTTTAATAATGTATTTCAATAGTTTTCATATGTTCTTTTCAATACAAGCTGTGAATATGAAACATGTATAAAAATTTGTAACTAAAAAAATATGATAGTTTTTATAATCATATGAAATTTTTATATGGCTTATAATTTTTATAATTGTATGAAAATTAACAATTATTAAATCTCAACATTTTATATCATAATCAAGTGGATATCATGAATACTTTAAAGCAGTGAATCTTTCTTATTCTGAAAAATTTACATGTGTATTAGCTTGTGTGCATATAGAGGCTTTTAATTCTTTTCTCCTGATAATATTAGATGCAAATTAAATCAAAATTCAAGTAAAAATGCTTCCTTTAAAATAGTTGTACTCTTCCATATAATTTAGAATATGCATGAAACTATTTTTTTGTGTTTGTGTTGTAAATCTAATCACACATTTTGTAATTGAAACAAATAGCTTTTTTATAATTTCAGATGAAATAAAAGCCAAAGTAGGGCTCTTGCTTCTTGATATGTAATATGATCCACCTCCTGATTGGTTAATCCATGTGTGAAACCTAAAATTCTTATAAATGATTCAAGAATGACTCATTCTTAAGAATAATTTGATGTATTCTTTTTCTTTCCTTTCTATACCTAGCTGCTGTGACATCTGTGATATAATTGCTTTCTATGTATATTAAAAGAAACTTTGTGCTACCCTCTGTAATATGATTTTTTTCACATCAAATATAATAATAATTTTAGGAGAATAGTGTTCTAAAATAGTATTCAGTAGCATTTTTACCCTTCTGAAAATTGTGAAGTATTAATTTATATATAATACTTTATCACAAACATTTAATTATGTTTATTTAATAAGTGAGTAGACATGTTACTAACTGACAGAATTATAACATATGATTAAAAGCAAATTGTCTACAATAATATGCTTGGTATTTGGACTATGACCATGTGATGTATCTATGTTTGTCATTAGAAGAAATGAACAGTATAGAAAGTAATAAAAGTAGTTCCATTAATGAATACAAAGTTATTGTTCATTTATTTTAATAGTATGAGGGGTATATCAAACTATAAATATCCATTTTTAGTTGATTTCACCTAAACATATTTTCTAGGTGAATGGAGCAAAAATGCATTCATCTATACCACCTTCTGCATACCTTAACACTCATTCTTTCAAAGATATTTTAAACTATGTGTAAATAAATAGATGTATATTCTCTGAGATGCATGTCATAAAAGAGGTTGAATTATTTATAAAAGTCCTAACCAGATTTTTAATTTAAAAATGTTTGGTACTTTCTAATTATTTTCACTTCAAGTTTCAACTTTAAACATAATTGCCAAAATTTATTTGGCAGAAGATTCATGAAGCAAGTTAAAATTATTTTCAAAGAAAGATTTGAAGGAAAAGAAATTGAAGGCCGTAGTTGAGGGTACAAATATTGACCACATAGATTGTTGTTTTTTCATATAATCATATATCTTTCATATATCTTGTTTCTTATAAAATTATTCTTTTAATTATTATTTATGAAAAGAGCAGTCCCTATGACCCCTAAAGAAAACCAAGTAAATGTTTTTTCCATCTATAAAGTTGCCAATGTGTGGTAGTTTTTCATTAAGGGGGAAAATAATCAAACAAATACTTTAAATTTTTACTTTTGAATACAATTTTCTTCCAACAACATTTTTGCAAATTAAGGATTATAGTGTTGTGTTAATGATATGATTGGTAAAGTTCAGCAAAATCAAATCATGCCATGTAAAACGAATAATGTGGACCTCCTCTTAATGTATCCAAACATATATATTCAAAACATATATTTTCAAACTGATATATGAAAATTTTTTGTCTCTTAATAATGTAATAACCATCATAAAATTCTTTCTTCAAATTAATTTTTATGTATTTTTTACTCCAAGATTTCCTGTTCAGTGTGTTATGGAATTTCAAAAATTCATTATTATAATTTATTAGGTGATTTTTATCAAATTGGTTTTTTAATGAATAAATACTGGGAACAAAAGAAGATATTAGCTCCTGGCTGTGAACCTGCAACAGTGAAAGGAATAATGGATATCCTAAGTTCCTTGTGCTATGGTCAGTTACTAGTTGGAGCTGGTGGTGGTGGATTTATGTGCATTTTGACTAAAGAACCTAATGATAAAGCGAATATAAAAGCAGCACTACATAATTTTAAGGTAAGAAAATACTGGTTTCTCATGACAAGTTTTCTCTCCTAAAAATGAGCACCACTAAGAAATCAGGAAAATTATTTTAAATATAAATAATAAACATTTTAATTCAAAAGAAGAATCTATTAGTTAATTGTAATTATTTATTTAATTGTTATTATTAGTTCAGAATCTTAAGTCGTTCTGCGGTATCATGCAAGCAATTTGGTAAACTAAGCATTTAGATTTTCAGAAAAGTATTTTAAAGGGAGAAAAATATTATATATAATTTTATTGAAATATATTTTTATTGTGTTTTTAAAAAGTTGTAATGGATCTGCAAAATATGAATGCTATTATGTTGAATTTGTTGTGGAATTAAGTTGAATTATATAGGACATGTTTTATTATATTATATGTTTATCATATGTAAAATTTAAATTTCTAATAAATAATTTAGAAACATCATTTAACATTGAACATTATATTTTGAATATCTTAAAGTAGTGTCTAAAATAGTGAAGCTAAGAAGTGACGTTTAAAATTAAGCAAAAAGACAACTTTAGATCGGTGTCAATTTTGAATAAAACTATCATTTTCAAGGGCTATCTGATCTAGCCTTTTTCTTCTTAAGAAACAAAATTTTTTTGCTCCTGAAGAAGAAAACTTTTTATTAAAAAAAAAATTAGATTGTGGTTGTTTTAACTGCATTTTTATCTTCTGTTTTCTTATTCTACTAGTTTTCAGGAAATTTCAATTTTTTCCATAAGCACTCCCATATAATGTGTATCTCAAAAACATACCTATATAGTGAAATTTTCATATTATGATTCAATTAATTAGTAAATTTTTATAAACATATTTTCTGTTAATATTATATAGTTTATTAATCATATATTCTTGATATATAGCTTAATAAGTGTTTTCTTTCTTTTTTCAGGATAGTAAAAAGTTGTCAATTCATACTGTAAATATTGATTTGACAGGACTAGAAATACAAAAATCACCATAATTCCAGATATTTGTATGTTATATTTTTATTTAAAATTCCAAATCATGTTTATAATTTTGAATAAACAAGCAAATGTCAAATCATATGATTATAAGTAAGTTTAGTGTTTTTATGTCATATGTAATCTTAATGATTATATGCATATTTTTTAATAAATTTATTATTTTTTCTTAACTGTTTGAGTAAATTTGTAATATATGACATTACATAACTTCAGTAATAAATATGTATATACGCATACACACTCACACCATATTTCCTTGCATATTTAGCTCCTAAGTTTTTAGTGCTAGGCTCTGAAAATCTTTTAAATATTTGCATAACTTTCACTTATCTCTGTTGTATATAGGTTTTCCCTCAGGGGGCTAGTTTGTTGTGTAAATTGTATTCCTTTGATTATTTTTATTTTTATTTGGTGTGGTCAATTTGTATTTGCATTTTTGAATTAACATGTTATCCATTTTATTTTCTCTTGCATTTATTATTTGAAATTTATTATGCAGATTCTTTATTAAGCTATCCATAAGTAGTAGGCTTTCTCACACTTTAGAAACTTTCCAAACCTTACTTCTGTTGTTTGCATTCCAGCTCATTATATCATTATCTATTGCTATCCTGTTGTGGTCTCCCAACTTTGTGGAGGGGGGCATAATTATTTAAATCATAATCACTAATAATCACATATATATATATATATATATATTATAATAATGATATTAAAGTTGATTTCTTTAGAGCATTTTCTAAGTGTAACTGAAAAGTAGACTAATATTAAAAGTCATGCATACGTTATTTCAAGATGAGCGGAAATGCGTAGATTCTGCAGGGAGCGGAGATTAGTTTAAAAATGCCTGTTAAGGAATACTTTACTGTAAAGAAAAGAGACCTTTTAGATTAATTTAAACTGGACTTCTGCACATAGAGTAGCTCAAGAAATATGCAAATTAAGTGACTCATAACATTGCACAATGAACACTTGTTACAATTTTTGTCTGTAGTATTGTTTAAAAGTTAATGAAGTTCCTAAGTGTGATCAGTATTTATTAATTATGACTCAGTGTGTGGTCAATATTCATTTTTTACAATTCACCTGAATAAGTATGGTTTTGGGATGACTTAGATTGATGAACTGCAGGGCATCAAATTCCTTTCCAGACCTACTAGGATCTGAAAAGTGCACTTTCGGAATAATGGCATGCAGTTCCATAAGATTTGATCAACAGTTTGGTAAATTCTGCAAAAAAAAAAAAAAAAAAGATTTAAGATTTGCATTTTTATCAGAATACGAGACATTCTGAAGAATTTCGTCAATATGATCTTCAATTTGCGCAAGTTGAAGACAATGGATAGTGAATTTAATACAGTACAAAGTCCGTAATCCAGACTCGGCGGACTTTGGCGATTCCGGATTAAGGGTTTTTCTGGATTATAGATCATCAATTTAAATCTGGTAAGATGGCATGCAGAAATTATACAATTAAAAATATGAAACCGTAATTTATGAAATAAAGAGCAATTATGATCTAAAGGGTATCAAAATCTAAAAAAAAAAAAAAAAAAAAAAAAGGCTTAATATTTATTTGTTTACTTTATTATATTAAACATTTCTTTCAATGTAAATTGTTTAAGTTGCTTTGTCTTCTGTGCTAAATGCGCATGCATAAACATTAAATGTGCATGCTTAAACGCATTACGCGCATGTGTAAGCATACCAAAAAAAAAGTTTGTGACTGAGGTCTGGATCATATATCATTCCGGATAATGGACGTCCGGATTACAGACTTTGTACTGTACACGATTACAACCAAGGCTGTGGAGTCGGAATCGGAGTTAGACAGATTTTTTAGTAAAAGGAGTCGGAGCTGGAGTCGCTAAAAACACGTTGACTCTGATTCCTACTCCAATGTTTGTTATACAGATTGAAGTTGAAATGAAATTAAAGTGAATTGAAAAAAAACTGTAATTATGTACTGAGTTATTATTTTAATTATGAACTATATACATTAATAAATAGTTATTTTCTATTTTATTGACATATTAATAAATAAATATAAGGGAGGAGGATGGATGTGATATTTGCCATTATTGATTAAACTGATTCATTTAGTTACAGATCTCACCATTAAATTTAGGTAAGCAGCAAGAACTCCCAAATGTAATGCTATTCTTAGGAAGCGAGCAGAAAAAGGAGCAATTATTGATCAAGCAAAGCAATGAGGAAGTACATATTTGATGATATAGAGGTTGTTAGAATTAAGAACTTTTTAGAAGATATAGAGGTTGTTAGAATTAAGAACTTTTTAGAAGATATAGATAACCCTAATGTTTCACTAACAGAAAAACTGTAAAATGATCTTGCAAAATTGAAAACTCTTCTTTCTACATTGTATATAGCTACAAAAAAGCTGCAATCTGAAGAATTAACAGGAAGCACGAATGGAAGAATGTGGTGTTTGTTCTTTCTGAAATGAAAGGTTTATTGCAGAAGGAATCATTTCTCCAATGAAGAAAGGGGAAACTCATTTACTAGACAATGAGATCTTGCTGGGTTCAATATATGTAGATCCAAAGTACCGAATTTTGTTGAATGACGAACAAATTAATAAGGCAAAGAAAGCCATATATGAACTTTCATTAAGAATGAAATTGTTCTAAGAACAATTGGAGTATTTCAATCAGGACAGTCAAATTGCAGACGTTGCAACTGAGTCTCTATCATCCTCTTACACTGATGAATTAGATTTTGAGAAATGTTTGGATAATATTGAAAAGGCCAAGGCAAAGCAAATGAAAATAAAGAACCAAGAGCCTCTAGATATAAAAATGAAAAAATACAAACAAGATTTCTACATAGCCTTTGAAGAAATAGAGAAATATGATTGCTCTTGCACAGCATTTCTTTTAGAACTTATAAAAATCTATCCTGAAAAGTTAAAAGATGTAGCTCTAACAGTAACAGCTCTTCCTCTTACTCAAGTTAGTGTGGAAAGACTCTTCTGAGCTCTGAAGTTTATCCAATTGGATCTGTGGTTCTCTAACAAAGAACATCTTGCCGAAGCTATACAGTTTCTTAGAAATTACTAATGCCAGTTTTCTCATTTCATAATAAATGCTAATTAATATAAATAATTTGCTATGCCATCAATTTTTTTTTCTGTAGCATCTATTACTTCTTGTATATTAAAAAAATCTGATGTGTACACCACATGACTTCCTTGCGCGGAATATTAAATTATATGCATTTTTTCTTGCATTTCATTTAAATTTATTGGATTGAATTAAACCTACATCATCGATAGCGCATAAACCACAATACAATAAATGCACTTTTTAAAATCCACTATATTTGTTTACTATAGCAACACTCTGGTGCTAGGTTCACTTAACAATGTTACATTTTGTCCATATTATAACTCAGAATGCATAGAAATTTATATCATTTGAAGAATTATCTAATCGGTGCCACATGTTCTATTCAAATACTATAATAAATCTAAAACGATGTATAAAAGAAATTAAGCAAACAAAGCAAAAAAGAAACAGTTTTTCACAGACGATTCAGTATTTCTCATTCAGTTAATTCAGTTCTCACTTCCCGACAAGGTAAAAATACATAAAACCTCAAAATATCTATATTGAAAATTACAAAGTAAATCTGAAATACTTATTTCCTCGAATAAATTCCAGAATGGATTAAGCATGATTTAATTCGCAGTAATAAAAGAAAGTGTTATCTTTGTTGTTGCGAAGCTTAATTTATATAGATTGGCAACAAATCTGCTATTTTGCTAAGTTTGAAATGTAAACAATGATGTCCGCCATGCAAAATTCATTAGGCTTAGCTGCACTTAAATAACTTTTAAATTGTTGATAACTCCACAAATATTGCATGCAGATTTACTAAAGGCATAAAAACCTTAACCGTAAGATAAGAACAACATAATCCAATCATTTTTAAAGCAAAAAATGCGCCATTTACAAACATATAAGAATAAAGAAACTGAGCCAAGTAACAGAGTGGATATATATATACATATATTTATTTCCTTTTGATGCGGCCGATTGCAGCCAAAATACGAGGAGCCCATCTACATGTTATAGCAATCCTACATAAAAAATTTTAACGTTCTGAGGCTACTCATTTTGAGTTATGCGAGATATGCACATGCACACAGACGCCACAAAAAATTCTCTTCAGAATTCAGTTTAAATCAATTTTGGGGGGAAAAGAGTCTTTTATTCTATCCTTACTTGCAGATGTCACGCCAAAAACATCCATAAATTGCATTGTATAGTGGTCAAAATTGATATATTCATTGCAATATGATACCCGAAATTTTTGACGATTACAATACTTACTTTTTACTTCGTACAAGGAAGTAAAACTAAGCTGCAACCCATGTGTTTTTGTTTACATATATATGAGGGAGTCGGAGTCAGTCATTTTCCCTACCGACTCCACTGCCCTGATTTCAACTAGAGATGAAATCGCTGTGGAACCGATTCATTTTACTGGGAGAATTTGCTTCTGATTACAAACAATGGAGTTGTCGGTTTTACATTTCACCCAGAGATCATCTTGGAAGCATGCCAGGAATAGAGATCTGCTATTTGTTCATAAACTGATTAACATTTACTGAACGAGCGAATACCTGATTGACAAATGGGACCTGTCTTTAGCATGCCAGGAGAGTTAAACTCCAATTTTAGGGGAGGAAAGAATGCTTATCCTCTCATGTTAAAAGTGAGTTTAATTTTTTTTCATTTCGCAACTTTCTGAAAAGTTTTTATTCTAGAATTTTATTTTTAGTTCTGTATAGAAAAGAGGCTTTAGAGAGATTAAATCTCAAAACTACAGTCAAAAGAAATCAATGCAGAAATTTAGCATTTGATTGATTCTTCTGATCCCATAGTTCACTCGATTCTTTTCACTTTTCATTCGAACGTTTCGCTAACCAATCCCGATTCCACTGCCCATTCAATGCTTTTTCGTTCTTCGCTCCTTTATATACAGCTCTTGATTCACCCCTTATTCTGAATCATTTTCATCAATGTTGTTAAAAAGCTGTGTGTCATAAAAAAACTGATTCATTTCACTGAGTGAACGGTCCTGATATGATCCCATAAAAGAGCAGTTTGGCTGTCTATAATTACAACTGATCCTCTATAATGTT